TATATTAAAAAAAGGGTTCAAGAGATCCCAAACTGTTCAATACTTACTTCAATTTAGTGATTCCATAAACAAATCTTCTCACGTCAAGTGCTCTGTCTTATTGCTTTTAGCTTGGCTCTCCAAAAAGAAACAAATTGAGCTGTTAATATTGAATGGTTGGGCCCTGAAATTTTGTCCTGAAAGAAATGGTTGGGGCCTCATAAATTGGACAGCTTAGATTGTTGAAGGAACTATATATATAGGCCTGCAGGGTTATGGCCACTGTCGGAGGCAATGAATGGCAATGCAGGAACCACGCCTAATTGGTCTCCTAATCTGCTTCCTTGTTATCTCTTCTTGTCATTTCCTTTCTTTTCTTTCTCACAAAGAAAAGTAGAAAACTAAGTTTTTTCTTTCTTTCTTTCTTTTTTCTTAAGAGGTCTACTCAACCTGAAATAGAATTTTGGTTATTCTGTTAGCAAGAGTAGTTTCTTCTGTTAACAGAAGTACTTAGCCCTGTTTTCTTGCAGTGTAATTTTATTTGCTTTGGTGTAAAAGCATGGAAATGTAAATGAGTTAGAGTTCAAAATTTGGTCTAATTTTATTATAGATTTCACTTTGTTTTGTTTTTCGCCTAAAATAAGAGCTAAAGCGAAAGAAAGTAAAAGTGGAAGCAAATATAACCCAGAATTTGCATTGCCATCCATTTGTACTGGTACAAATGAAATCGTATTGCAAACAAACATATCTTAAAGAGACAAAATTGAGGGGTGCAAACAACTCCTCCACCCACTAATCCAACTTAAAATAATAGGATACATCAAATAGAAAACTAAAAAAGATGGATTTTCTTCATAATGTATCATGGGTTTTTAAATTTAAGAAAATCTTGATGGGCCCAGGCCCAACCAGCTTATATCACTACCATTCCAGAAAGAAGTTAAAAAGGAAAGGAGGTTGGCTGCCAGCATAGCTGAACTTAAGCTCCACTGCTTTCATCTTTGAACTAACCACTCCAATCCCTGTCATCAACACTTGTTTGGTCCTTCATCTTTTACCAAAAGAAACCGAAATTGTTGAGTTCTTTTCTGATCCCCAATTCTGAAATTGTCACCATTTGTCATCAATTATTAGTATAGTAGTAGTAGTAGAAGTTGTAGCTAGCTGCAGTAGTAGATCTCTGATCATTGATGCAGAGCCTAGTCTAGACTCCTAATTCTCCAACAGTCATCTTCTATGTTTGCTCTTGGAGTTTTGTACACCACTTGATTCATTTACACTGGACAACACAACACACACTTGCAGCCTCTTGCTGCTCATGCTGATGCAAAAACATGAAAGGATCCATCCATGAATGCAATAAATTGTGTCCAGAGCATTACTACCTTGAAATTTGAATCACAGAAACAAATAGACCTGCCCAAATTAGCTTCGATGCTTCGCTTTCTAGGCTTCAAGCTAAAATGGAAACTGACCAGTGGTCATCCCCCTATGTTCTGCAACAAGTAGGTTGTCATTTGTTATTTGGTTGGCCCTGGGCCTGGACGCCGGACGCCCCCACCTGTTTCCACAAAAAGTACACACCTTTTAAATTGGACCTTGGGTCAAGCCCTATGGCTATGAGATGGTTGGATCAGACTTGAGACCAATGGGCTACCCACCTCGAGTCTGTCCCAAAATTGATTTGAGATTGGGATTTGATTGAAGAACATTATCTGGAAAAAAGAGAGTGTGGCAGTTCAAGTCAGATTCTTTTGGACAACGACCAAGCAGAATAATAATAATAAATGAAAATCGGTTCGCTTTGCACTTGTATATACCAAAGTTTAAAACCGGATTGGATAGGGAATCATTCTGACTTCTGAGATCGGTTTCTGGGTTGAATGATTCAATCGTCCGGTCCAAACGAATAACCTGTTCTAATAAAAATATAAAAAAATTAAAAATAACCAAAAATCATTGACAGTTTGACAGTTTGACCATTTGGGTCAGCAATTTACTGACCAAATCAACGATTTTTTGGCTAAAAAGTGATCGGTTCCCAGTTTTCCAGATAATGTTCTTCTGCAATTTACAATTTTGGTTCACTTTGGGACAGACTCTCTTTTTTCCAGATTTGCAATTTGCAAATTTTGGGACCTTAGACCTTGAACTGCAAATTTTGGTTCACTTTGGTTCTGGATTTTACTTTACTTCATCTGCAATGCAAACAAAGACAACAGCTGAAACAAAAATAATCAAAACTCGCATTCAAATCACGTGCAAATGAAATCGCATTGCAATTTGCAAAAAAATTAGGTCTAAGGTCCCAATATCGATGCAAACTTCCCTCCGTGGGGTTGGGAAGGTTCTAATATTGATGCAACTTGACAGAGTGACTTAGTGATGATGATAATGATGAATCATGAACGATGAATAGTGAATGGTGATGATGATGGTGGTGGTGGCGGTGGCTTATGGTTCTTTATTGTGACGACGACAACAGAATACTCTGGGTTGGGTTAGACCCATGGGCTATTTGTGTGACCCACTTCTATTAAATTAGATCACAATGCTTGCCTAGCCCAAGACATGGGAGTCAGTTCATATTCAGATGACAATAAACAATCCGGCAGCGGCAGGGGAGGGTCATTCCAATATAGAACAATTCAAGTCATATGTGTTTTCTTTATTTTGTTTTGAAGCCCAAGTCATATGTGTTAGGAATATTGTGTTCTTAATTGAAATAATAAGGCCCCATTTGGTTTGCAGGAATAGGGGTCTGGAATCAGAATCAGAATGGGTTATTCCGATTCCAACTATTTGGTTAGGCGGAACCGGAATCCTATTCTCCTTCCTGCTGGAATGGCACTCCCCCATTTAAGGTAATGGCCATTTCTCGCCCTTCCTTTGGGAATGAAATCCCATTCCTGCTGATTTTAATTCCCATTCTCATTTCTGTCTGAATCAAACAGATTATGGGAATGGGCCATTCCGATTCCAATTCCAGAGGATTTCGATTCCGATTCTGACTGCAAACCAAACGGACCCTAAATCCTTGTCTATTTGCAATGCAATTTCATTTGTACCTTGTAAGTGTATGAGAGTGCAAATAAATTGATAACAATTTCTTATTTACTTCTCTTTTAAACTTCACTCTGTTTGGTTTGTTTCCATTGTAAATGAGGTAAAATAAAACCCGAGGCAAAGTAAAAAATGAAACTTAAAGCAATATTTAATCAGAATTTATGTTCTTTTAATTTTTACTCCCTTATTAGCAGTAGTGCCGCATTGCAAACAAACGGATCTTAAAGGCTATGTTTGGTTGCATTGCAAATAAATTTGCATTGATGCAAAACCATAATAGTGCAAATGATTTGAGTGTAAATTCTAACATATTTTTGTTTCATATTTTAGCTTATTTTGTTTGATTGTAGTACGGATGAAATAAATTAAACACATGAAATAGGATAAAATAAAATTCAAAACAAAACTAAACCAGAATTTGCATTTTTTACATTTGCACTCCTATACATTTGTTCTAGTGCAAGTAAATTGCACAGCAACCAAACACGGCCTAAAAGTTCAATACTCGTAAAAGTAATTTTTATTTGATTTGAAGAAGCCCTTGGTTCCTTTTTACTCGATGTTAACAGTACCCAGATTAATGGATGCCATTTTTAGTTGATTTTGTTAGTCCAAATCAATGGCATTTTAGTTGATTTTGTTAGTCCAAATCAATGTGATCGCCATTTCAAGTTGAAACATTTTGAGTAGTGTGGGTAGTGCAAGTTTCAATGGTTAGAGGAAAAACCTGTTTGGTTAACACTTAATATTTATAGTCTCAACAGTAATGTAATTATATGCAACATCAATCACACTTTCAATTACGGTTATGCCAATCTAATGGATAAGAATTTTCCAAATCCAGGATTTCATCAGATTTTATTTTTTTTCCAATGTACAGGGGTGTTATGTGTGTAAAAGTAATGTTTTCAAAACCGGACCGGATTGGATGGTCAGGCCAAAAACTGTTGATTTGGTCAATAAACTACTGACCCGGGAGATAAAACCATCAAACCATTTGACCCGAGAACAGTTTATGGCCATTTTTTTTTAATTTTTAATTTTTTTGTTAAAATGGACTGTCCGTTCAGACTGGACGATTGGACTGTTCAATCCAGCAACCAGACCCAGAAGAGTTCCCTGTCCGGTCCAGTTTTAAAAACCTTGTGTAAAAGTATTATCAAGAAGAAGATGATAGAGCTGTACAGCGAAGAAGACAGAGGTTATATAGTTTTGCTCAAAGTGTTGTGTGACCGTATCAATTCATCACCATGCCACATTGGATGACAGGTAAGTGCCATATCAGCTAAAACATTGTAAGACGCAATGGCTATTGGGGGAAATTTCAATTTGACACTTCCTCCAACACCTCCTTGTTGATTGTTGCTATTTTCAGACAAAACGTTTTTTAACTATTTTGAATTAGAACAGTCTCAATCAAATAAAAAAATTCCTATTGCAATTCAAAACGCTTAAATGGCACTGATGTGGCAAGGTTTCAGCTGGAAACGAGAATAGTACCAAACATACCCTTAAATTCCCCGATTAAGGGCTCAGAAAGTTTTTCAGGCCCACTATGGGCCTATTGGTCCTATACTAGCCCATCTGTGGTGGCCTGCTTTATTTACAGCTGTAGCACAAGCCCATGTGAATTTCAGAATTTAACACCGTTTAAAAGCCCGCGAGTTCAGAGTGGAATCTTTTTCGCATCGTGAGTGGTGTGTCACTGTGTTGGGACAGACAGACTAGCAGCTCTCCTTCTGGGAATTTTCAAATTTCCAATTCTCAGTTGTCCTTCTCAGCTGCTCTCCGATGGTGGACGAAATCACGAATCACGGCCCAGCCCATTCTCGAAGCGCCAGCTCAAACCGCTAAACTTTGACGCCACGAAATCGTAGCGCTAGAATTCTTTGACAGCGTACGGCAACGACATCTCACCGTCATAGTGAAATCTTAATATGAGAATCTACTAGAACGGTGAGATGCATGCGAAAATTCTGCTGGGTAGCGTTGTAAGTTGAAACTTGAAACCTCCTCCTGTGTGGCCTTCTGTGTTTGCTACTTTGTCCCTCTCTTTTCGCATTTAGCGCGCGGTGCAGCAGCGCTCCTCGTTTCGCAGTCTCACACTCACAGGGTCTTCGTCGTCTACCAAAGTACTCTCCACACTTTTGATTCCAAACTTTTCTCCAAATTTGAATCGAGAAACCCTTGAAAGGTAATCTGGAAAGGCAGATTCTCTTCCTTCTCTGTCTCTTTAGCTCTATTTGATTATATCTGGAAGCGGATTTGAAAATCCCATACCGGGTCACTGTTTGAAATCGTTTGGCGTCTGTATAAGCTGATCTCGCAGAGATTTCCATAGATTTTCAACCTTTTGAGGTGAGTGGTTATTCGCTTCTTTAGACATGTGGTATTGAAGGGCCTGGTTGTTTGCTTCAAATATTGGGTTCCCATATTTGATTATGCGTTTCTTTTGCCTTGTTCCTGGTCATGGTCTTGGATTTGATATTATGGGTATTTGGTGGTTTAGTGGAGTCCTTATTTCCATCTTTTTTCTCTCTTAATTTTTGGTTCTTTAATTAAATTGGTGTTTATTAGCTTCCTCTCACGGTAAAGGATTTTTACTGGTTACTTTTATTCTCACGTTACAACTGTACAGATGTCTAGTAGCTTCAGGAGTGATAGTGACTACACTGTCGACATTGAGGAACTCTTGCAGATAGGAACAATGTGTAGAGAGGTATAATTCCATTCTTCTTCTTTTCTTGTTGCATATTTTGGACGATGTCTACAAAGGTACTGTTCTGCCTTTTTCTTCCTTTCTTTTCTTAATGGGGAACTTATTTTCTCATAGTACTAATCATTCCACTCCTTCCACACAGCCTAAGAAAAAAAAGGGTACCTAGGTGCATACAGTTGGGCCCTGAGAACTAAAAGCCCTTTTTTTTTTATTGACATATCCCGTATATTTCTTAATGTCTAGTAAAAAGATATGTAGATCATGGAAGATATTACCGAAACTTGGAATTTATTGAGTAACAAGAATTTGCTATGTTCTTAAAAAAAGACACCTATCATGCCTTGTTGTTTTTTCTCCCAAAATCAAGCAGTTGATCTTGTGGGCATCAAATTGATGGGCCTCAATTAGGAAACAAATTGATTTGTTGATTTCAGGGTCTACAATGTCTTCATTGGAAAATAATAACTTGAGGAATTTCTTACTCCTTGGAGTTTATAAATCCTTGTTTTTTGATAAGCAGGAGTTTATGAATCCAGTGATACTAAGAAGACTGTGTAATTTTATGATATCTTGATTTTTTATATTGTGGGGAGATGTTTTGTCCTCCTAAGCATTCATAAGGTTTAAAAGTAGGAACAGATATTAACAGCATTCGGTACTTCATATGTGGATGTTCAATAATGGCGATTAACAATTTGGTATTAACATTCTGCTATCATAGAACCCTTTTTGATGTATCATCATGAACAGTGTACAGTGTGTTAATAAAGTTATCCATAAAATGCAGTTGTGTGTTTTTCCCTGGCAGAATTGATATTGAAAGAGATTATGTTGAGTTATGATAAGGAAAAACTTTTCTTTCCTTAGTTTTATTTTCTCCTGTAAATTTAAGGTGTGCCATGAATAGTAAAGCTTCCAAGTTTAAATGCCATACATGTTTCTTCCTGGTTGTTTATTTATTCCAGTGGTGTACACAAAACCAACAATGATTACTCATATTTATGTGCATTTTTTTTTGGTAGGCATAGCTATGTAGTTTAATTTAATGCTTTTTTTTTATTATTTTGAAGAAAGATAACTTGTTTTAAACAAAAAGAGGAAGGGTGTACATGAGATGATGTATAAGGGCCTTCAGAAAACAAAAGAGAAATAAGAGCCCAAATCATTTAGTAAGGCATTACATTTGCACTATACAAAACATCCCTCCCCTGCCCATGTTTAGCTAACCTGTCAGCCACTTGATTCAAATGAATTTAATGTTATTTATTCCCCCTTAATTTTTATGAGTGTAGCTGAGGAAAGAAAAGGACATGCTAAGAGAATCACTATCTCAAAGTGCCGAACTGATTAGAGTAAGTGTATCTTGATTTCTCTTTTTCTTTTCCTTCTTATCAAGTAATGTATTCTGAAATCTAGATATTTGGTCTTTTACACTAGAAAATTATGCCTGCAACATTGCAGATTTAGGGTAGGTCTTTTTTAAGATGGTTAGGTTCAGTTTCAGCTTTGGATTACAATCATCAAGTTCAACGAAGGAATAGGTCCAAGTTACAACTTCCAAACCATGCTTTTATCAAAACAGAAACACCAATTGTCTATTTGTCATGGCTCTTAAGAGGCTAGCCAATTGACTTCACTCTGCAATGTACTTAGTTTGTTATTGGAGTATCTGACTACTAGTTTCCCAATAACTTTGGAATTATTTTTATGTTTATGTTGTAATAGGTTCATGGATTTTATACCAGTAGAGAATTGTATGAACTTCCATCTTTTTTCTTTTTTTCAATTTAGAGATTAGAATTGGATATAAAGTCACTAGTGGAAGCTCGCGCGGAGGACAAGAAATATATCCAGAAGTTGGAAAGAGAATTGAGTAATTGCTCCCAGGAAATAGGTTGGGATTCTATTCTCATTATATTTGTTCTGTCATTTTTCTTAGGACTCTGTTTTATTTGAATTTATTTCTTAGGTTCATCATCAATTATGAGAGATTTATTATTTACCTTAGAAATAAGAAGTTAATTATTTCTCCTTTCATGTAAATCATACTTTCTAGGGAGTTTCTTGTAAAAGAATTTTTGTTAGTGAAATCATTCAACTTCACTTAAGTTCAAGTTAATCCATTTTCACTGTGCAATTGCAATGGTCAAAACATTGAGCCACCTTTCAGTGGGTCTATCATGGACATCTTAGTCCTCAAATGTTCACCCAAATCAGATATTTGTAATCATTTTATAAATTAGCTGACTCATTGCTATTTCATTTCTGATTGTCGGGAACATTATCTATGACAGATGATTAAATTCATGCAATCAGGTTGGTTTTTCACTTTCACCAAGAAGATCTCCTAGGTGGGAGCTTCTGAATGGTTGTTCCTGATAACCCTTGATGTTACGTAACTGGCATCCTGAGTCCCCATGCTTCCCATTATGATGTAATATATCATCTTTTAATCATAAACCTCACTTTCTGCATGGTCCAATGGTTGACTATAGCCTTCTTGGGCTTAATCAGTTGACACTTTTCACAGAACATTTGCAGGATCAACTAAACCTAAGAAACATAGAGGCAAGTTGTTTGGGTGAGCATGTCCACAGCCTTGAGCTTAAGCTAGTGGAATTTAGAAGCTTGCAAGAGAAAGTAAGCAGGCTGAAGGATGAACTAGTGAAATCTGAATCAGAGAGGTTATTCTTGACACAGGAATTGGAGAACAAGGAAATGGAGATCGAAAATTCATCTTTATGCGTAGACCAACTGGAGGAGTCAATTTCATCTATTGCATTGGAATCCCAGTGTGAAATAGAAAGCATGAGGATTGATCTAATGGCCTTGGAGCAAAGGTGTTTTGAGGCCAAGAAATTCCAAGAGGAAGCCGCCCATGAGAAAGTTATGATGGATAGGTTGATCGAAGAGTTTGAAATCCAGTTTCAGGAAGCACAAAAAATGATTAGTTGTTTAGAAGAGGAGAACAGAGAGTTAAGAGGGAGGCTTGGAACATCAGAGAGCGGTGCATCAATACCTTATCAGAAAGTTGAAGAAAACCTTGGTCATTGGCTTGAAAACAAGTATAGTTCACAAGCTGCGTTTCAGTCTTCTTGCAGTAAGCGTGAGAGCAAGCTTCCTGCATCAAAACAAATGAGGTATGTGGCTATGGCTTCTTTATCTGCTAGTCAGCTTCCAACCCGTAGCTTCTTGCATTGAATTATGTTAACCATTTGCTTTAGATGGAGAGAAGAAGGAAAAAACTCCCCATCGATTAGCAATTCACAGATGGCACACATGCATTAACATTGGATTAAATTTTTAACATTTTTCTGTGTTCTTGCCTTTAGATTCTCCTGGACAAACTTCTTACTGGATTAGTTATCATTGTGATCTGATCAATTTTTTATGTAAAGTTCATTTTCCCAATTTGCAAGTGGTCAAGGAAATTGGAACCTGATATTCTTCTCTTCCATTACCTTTTTTGAATGATTCTGTCAAAAAATAAACTGCACAGAGCATTTCTGATGTGCATTGTTGCACTTTGAGGTTGCTAAGCTGCGTCAATATAAATTGTCATGGGTTATGGGTGAAAATCAAGTTGCCCGATTTGAAGAATTTCAAATACATTTGAAATGGACCAATTCCAAATTTAACAAATGGTCAACCCAAGCCAACCCAACTGACACACTCTATCTTGGATTACTCAACAACAGACTGCTTTGCCCATTTCTTGAAGTAACCTTTCATTTCTTCTCTTGTGGGTGTGCTTTCTTTCGTTAATTGTCGGTAATAAAAGATCATTTCATTTCTGATCAACAGCAACAATGAGAACATAACAATAACAATAATAATTAGTCTACATGTTTTCGCTTTTCAAACAATTTTGGGATTGGCCTCTTGCAATGGGCTACAGAACAGGGAGTATCCTCCCCCAAACCCCTAAACCCCCTAAAACCTGGTGAAGGTGGGACTTGATCCCAGGTCTCCATTACAACCAGCTAGAGACTTACCAGCAAGCTAGGTGCTAGCTGACACTTTCAACATAGAAAATACATTTAAACCGAAGAATTGTTTACATATAAATGTGATGTATGAGGAGGTGATTTTAATGCCCATATGGGTAACATAATTTCATAGGTCATCTAAGTTGGTGATGTGGTTTTCTGAAAATTAATCATTCTTTGTGCTTCATTTTGTCAATATTCACATATTGAAATCGACTTTGAAGATTTCCATCTTGTTTCTTCCTTGAAAGGTAAAAAGTATTTGTTCTAAGCCATCAAAAAGTATACATAAGACTATACAACATATTCCTACTCAAGATTTCCATCATTACATTCTTACTAATTTTGAACTTTACTTTTTATTTCCATCTTTACATCCTTACCAAATTTCAGTTCTGTTTTTGAAGCACTTGTGAGGAAGTGCTGGGCCCACTCCTTTCAAAGCTGGCTGTTGTGGCAGCATCAGATGAAGATTTGAAAGCTGCAATGGAGAAGATGTTGTGCCAGATCCACAAATCTGAGCTTCTTGTGAAGCAGCTCAAGGTACTGCCTTATTTTCATACTTGCAGTTAATTCCAACTTGACTTGGTGAGGTTTCAGCGTGGTTGGATTAGTAAGTGGTAATCTGCTTGTTTTAGTGCTACAGATAAAGATTGATGAAATCAAAGTCTTGTATAATTTCATGAATAAATTGCCTTGATAAGCCAAGTTACATTTCGAGACTGAAGACTGCTTTGACTTGTAGTATCTTAGCCAGCATTTAATTAATAATCTCAGTATGTCCTAGGAAGAGCTGATAGAAGAAAAGTGCAAGGCAAAGGAAGAAGCAGAGGACTTAACTCAAGAAATGGCTGAACTAAGATACCAAACCAGAGATATGCTTGAACAAGAGTGCAAGCGCCGTGCTTGCATTGAACAAGCATCTTTACAGAGAATAGCTGAGTTAGAGGCACAGGTACTTATGTCTTGCTCTGTGGTAATTCAGTAGGAACCTTTGGGAGGTTATGTATTTTAAATTCCTGATTTTTTCCTTTCATTGGTGCAAGCTACGGAAAGAACAAAAAAAATCCTTCATTGCTGTCAGGCATTTTCGTGAAGCCCAGAAATTAGCTGAATCAAGATCCATGGAGGTGCACCGATTACAAAATGTATTAGAGGTATAGCTCTTGCTAATTCTTATTCTTGAATTTAACTTTTGGATCTACTTCATCAACCCCCATGAGAACAAACACTTCATCTCATTCACAATCTTGGATGCACCACACTCTACAAAAGATTAATATGTAATTTTTGTAGGCTGACATGTAAAATGTGAATTAAATGCTTACTCAACATATTTCTTCTGTTTTTTGGTGTTGGGGAGGGGAACCTCTGTATGCCATTAAATTTATATATATTTAGGGGAAACATAGTAAGAAATGCTTTAAAAAATGACCCAGAAATGAGACTGCTTTTCGCTCCAGGTGGTGGGTCAGTGGTTCAACCATACAGATCAGCCAGGTCAAGGGCTGTACATTCCCATTGTACAGCCCCCGAGTGTACATATGGGCTTCTATTCTCTTCTTGAATTTTAATGCAAATATACTATACCTTTCTTTAAGAAAAATAAAATTGATAACAAACGAAATTACAGAAAAAAAAATTGGGCATCTTATCTTTTATATATATATAGGATAGGGGTGCTCCCTCCGTGCAGGAAATGGAATTCAACCCAGTAATTACTGCCATATAAATAACAGTAATTACTGATTATTACAGTAATCAATTACTATAATTTAATAATTATTGATTATTACAGTAATTTAATAAATATATAATTAGTGATTATAATTAATAATTACTGTTATTATAAATATTGTTAATAAATAGATATTTACTTTAATTTTACTTTAAATTAAAATTATAAATATTGTTATTAATAAATACTGTTAATAGATTTAGTAATTATTGTTATATTAAAAATAATTAAAAATGTTATTAAAAGTATTGTTATTGATTATTTAATAAAATATTATAATTATTGACTATTATTGATAAATACTGTTAATTTAATTTAATTTTGGTAATTAAATAATTTAATGAATATTGTTAATAAATCCTATTCATAAATTTAATATTTACTATTATATTAAAAATAATTAAATAATATTATTAAAACTATCATTAATGATTATTTAATTAAATAGTATAATTACTTGCTATTATTGATAAATGTTGTTAATAACATTCTGACAACCGATAGTTCGACCGTCTGGTTCGAACGTATGGCCCATTCTGACAACAAAAATTACAAGCAAAAAATTACGGAATCGTTCTGGCCACCGGTTTTTGGGTTAACGGTTTGATCGTCCGATTCGAACGGACGACCCATTCTGACAATAAAAATTACAGGCAAAAAATTGTGTATGAGGTCCATTAAGCAGTATCATACGTGTTATGTCATTCGAGCGTGTGACTCATACGACTCGAAAATGGAATCATTCTAGCACCAGTTTTCGGGTTAACGGTTCGATTGTTCGGTTCGAGCGGACGGCTCGTTCTGACAACAAAAATAAAAAAATAAAAAACGGCCAAAAACCATTGAATGGGTCAATGGTTTGACCGCCTGGGTCAATGGGTCGTTGACCGATTCAACGATTTTTTGCCAGGGACCGAGATTAGGATAAAATGGAACCGGTTGCCTGGATGGTTCCCAATTAAAATAATAAAAAAATGGCCAAAAACCATTGAACGGGTCAACGGTTCGATTGCTCGGGTCAATGGGTCGTTGACCAATTCAACAATTTTGGCCAGGGATTGGGTTAATGGTTAAGTAGGGCCCCTCCGCTAGTGTGTGAATATTATATATTCATCATATTAAATAAAATTAAGTGTGATAAATGAAAATTATTGTTATAATGATGAAAATGGCTAGAGAGAGAGAGAGGGAGAGTTGATGTTTAACCCGTGACCTGCTGAATGGGTCAAACAGTTCAACAAGAGGGGGTTACTAGATCATTGACCAAGTCAATGCATTTTGTAAGAAAGGGGGTTCAGGCCCTTCGGGGTCAAAATGGACCCAGAAACCTGGCTAGGTGATGGGTTGACTAATCTGACCACCAGTTCAACCACAGGTTGAAGACATGGTAGTAAGAAGAGTATATTTTCTTCTAAGTTATTCACACACCTTTATGTATTTATGCCATTTTCCTGTGAATGAACTCTCGAACTTTGGGATTTCCTAACAATTGTAGCTTCTGAATGCCCCATGTAGGGACTAATGGTATATCCACAAACAAATGAAGTTTGCACCTGTGGAGACTGTTTGATTTTTAGGAGTACTTCCATAGGTTGCCTATCCCAAGAGCCAGTTGAACCTCAAGTTTCAGAATTAGATTCAGCTGGTCATGACATATTATCCAGAAAAGCAATAGCATGGCATCCGGAGGAAATTCACGGGTCATGATCATGAACAGAAAAATGCTCCAAATAGCTATTCTCATAAAAATGAGTTCAGGTAACTGACATTGAACTTGGTGGTTCTTATCTCGAGCAATCATTTGATGGCTTTATTGTTCATCTTCACCTTCATGACCATCATGTGGTGTAATTCTTGACAAGAAGTCTTCGAGAAATTGGCGTGAAATGAAGAGCAAATTGCAGGACAGGAGTTGTGATTTGTAATCTTAAATCTTATATATTGTGCCTATTCTTGTATTCTTAGATCTGAAGCTGATGCTTCAGCCTTGCTGTGCAGTAGGAAGTTGTCTATATTGAATTTCCCGTGAACCAAATGTTTAGCAAATAGCAACCCTCCTTTTCTTGTTCATCAAGGTCTAGCAGCAACCTTCAATCTGATAGATGCACACAGTGGATAACTATCTATCTCTATTCTCATCTCGTCTACGAGATCATCACTTGGTCGAGTCAATCCACAAGCCGCTACCTCATAAAACATTTAATGAAAATTTTAGGTGTGTCAAGCCTTCAAGCCAGTTTTTGGTCGTTGTGACTTGTGCTTGGTGGCTAGTGGCTACTTATTCGGTATAAAAGGTAGTTTTGGGTACATGTGAAATGTGCAAAGTAAATTGGGAAGGGTGATTAGCTCAAGGGGATAATTTGATATGCTACGAGAATGCCATCGGAATGTCGGATGGTAGGTGTAGCAGTTTACTACAAAGTTCAACGGACTACAGAAATGGTGGCGCCCATGAAAGGTGATACGCTGACGGATCATGGGTGCATTTGAAAATGATGCAAATGGAGTGTAAATTCTGGTTCAGGGTAAATTTGTATTGTGGTTCACTTTAGTGTTTAGCAATATTACATTTATGTATTGACAAATGACAGAAAATACATTTTTCAATTTATATTTATATTGATAATAAGATGTAAAAGTACATCAATAAAAAAGAAGTAAATTTGCATTTAAGTGGGTTTTTGATAAAAAAAAAGATATATGTTTTATTGGAATTCGTGTTTGCATCCATTAGAGCTAAAAATCTGTTTGGTAAGAAGATAAATTTGTCAATGCAAAACTAATCCAACTTTACAATTTATGTGAACTGTTTTACACTCTGTATATTTGCATAAACACTTATTTGCATCGCTTCCAAATGCAGTTAAGTCTTCTGCTACTTCTTGTGGTCTACGACCTTGCATTGACAGAAAATTTTCTGTTCCGTCCAATCTAATTTGAGCACGTCACCATCTCCATCTCAATTTGAAATTGATGAATGAAAGACTCTAATGGCAAGGTAAATGTTAAAGCTTTATGAAAAACAATTAACCCAAGCCAAATATCCTTTCCGCTGTTCTCTTCCCCTCCCTCTCCACGGCAAATATTGTTGCAGTAACATGGAAATTTAAATATCCAATAAAACTTTACAACTCAAAGTTTAATTAGTATAGTTTGTGCATGTTTCTGTATAATGTGAATGGTATGATAAATACAGTAAAAGGATGATTTTTCAAGTATCCGCCAAACACTAAGAACTCAAAACTCGAATGGACAGCTCTGCTGCAGCTCCGAGGGTCCCAATGTATCCATGCCAACTCTTCTATAATTGAGGGAAAGTTTGCAATGCCCAAGATCTGAGGATGAAGCCCCGAATTGGATTAAAAACTCCAAAGCAGTATTGGCTTCTGATTAGACATTCAAGTTTACTAAATTATCGAGTGTATTAATAGGCAATAGCCAATGTATTAAGCCAACGCATGTATGTTCGAGCTTGGGGCACTTGATTATTTGACTTAATTTGCCTCTTCAAATCCCAACCAAACCCAGGAAAAAAATATATGAGGAATCTATTTTATTTTCTCGAGAGGGGAATCGATAGAATGGAATGATGGCAACGGCGATGGAGGGTTGCAGGGTCATCTTTCACTACGGGAAGCGGCTAAGTTGTAGCTCAACTGCAAGATAGCAGCGGCGATGGAGGGTTGCAGGGTTGTCTTTCACTATTGGAAGCGTCTCAATTGCAGCGGCTCAGTTGCAGGGTATCAACGGCAATATGGCAATAGCGATGGAGGGTTGCAGGGTCGTCTTTCACCACGGGAAGCGGTTCAGTTACAACTCAGCACAAGATGGCAGCGGCTCAATTGCAGGGTATCAATGACAAGATGGCAGCAGTGAATGGGTTTCACGCTATTGATGTTAGTGAGGGTGAAGAGAGTAGCGGGAAAGGATATTTGGCTTGGGTTAATTGTTTTTCATAAAGTTTTAGCGTCCGTCTTGCCATTAGAGCCTTTCGTTCGTCAGTTTCAAAATTGGACGAGACAGAAAATTTTCAATCGTCTCAAAACTCAGAAGTTGATCGTAATTGCTATAACTTTCGCATAGTCTTAACATCCGGTTGCTCATTGAACTATCAATTTCTCATGGACCTCAAGGCAAACCTTGGTCCCTATTCTTCCTATACGGACGTCCCTGTAGTGGTGATCGAGCAACTTTCTCGGAATTCTTCATGCAGTCAAAAATCTACCTCCAGTCCAAACCATGGCTTATGATGGGAGACCTAAATGACATTCTTTACCCCTAGGATTATCAAGGATCTGGTACAACTCACTCGGCCTCTATTCCCTTAGAAGGGTAATTGACCTCTTTTCCCTTGTTGAAGTGGGCAGCTCAGATCCCTACTTGGACCAACAAACAAACTGGTTGGCATCTAGTCAAGGAGAGACTCGATAGAGCTTTTTCAAATACAGAATGGCTAGACATATTTCCAGACTCCAAGGTTTTGGTTCTCCTGGCTATAAACTCCGACCACAATCCCATCCTTCTCGATACCCTTCCCACCTACCCACAAGGAAAGAAAACCTTCCATTTTCTCCCCATGTGGGCAGACCATGAAGCTTGTGAAGAAATCATAGCCCGAAATTGGAACCAACCAACTCTAGGATCTACAGCCTTTAAAACCATAAAAAAGACAAACTCATCAAGAAAGAGCTGAAATCCTGGAATAAGCTCACCTTTGGAGATACCACTCAGAAGGTCAAGCACTTAGAAGACTAGATCCTCCTTCAGCAAGACCAAACTAACACCTCCCCCCAAGAAGAGCTCCAGAACCTGGAAAGTCAATTATGAAGAGGAGCTTTGGAGATTAAACTCTCGAGAACTCTGGCTCAAAGAAGGGGATAGGAACACTAGTTTCTTCTATCTTCAGACAAAGCACAGGAGGAGGTGGAATAACATTGAATGGATCAAGCTAGGGAGCCAAAATTGGACTTCTGGAAGAGAGTAGATAGGAAGGGCCTTCAAAGAGCACATCCTTAGAATAAGTGGATAGGAAGAAGAGTTCAATGTAAACACTCTAGAAGGATTGATTTCACCTGTCATTACTGAGAAGAGGTCAAAACAGCCATTTTCAGATGAACCCCCACAAAGTACTGGCATATTCTAGGGAGGGACCTGACAAACCTGATAGCAAATTTCTTTCATAGCCAGCACCTGCTTAAAGAATTAAACCAAACTCATCTAATATTCATTCCAAAAAAAGTAGGAGCTGAAACTGTGGATCAATACCAGTCTATCAGTTTATGCAATGTGGTCTATAAGGTGCTAGCCAAAGTCTTGGCAAATAGACTTAAACCCCTATTACCCAAAATAATTTCTTCCAATCTGGCTTCTTTCATCAAAGGTGGGAATATTTCAGATAATATAATCCTAGCCAAGGAGATAACCCATAAAGTTAAGCACTAGAAAGGAAAAACTAGATGGGCAATCCTAAAAATTGACATGGCAAAAGCTTTTGATAGAATGGATTGGGATTTCATTATCCAAACTTTGAGAAGGCTAGGTTTCCTAGAGAAATGGTGTAATTTAATTAAATAGTGCATTACTACAGCCACATTCTCAATAAAGCTCAATGGGAGCCCACTTGAAATGTTTCATACTAACAGGGGCTCCAGCAGGAAGACCCTCTATCACTCTATCTCTTTATAATTGGCATGCAGGTCCTTACAAAGCTATTGGACAAAGAGGAATCGGAAGGTAGACTGTAGGGTATAAAACTTGCCCGAAGTTCCAAATCACTCTCACATCTCTTGTTTGCTGACGACTGTCTCATTATCAATAAAGCCTCTTTGGAATCCCTCTATCACCCTATCTCTTTCTTCAAGCCGCTTGAAGAAACTCTCTCAAAGGTTGAAAACCAGTTGGACACTTGGAAAGCAAAAGTACTCTCCCAAGCAGGTAGAATTACTATGTTAAAAGCAGTAGCCCAAAACATTCCAGGCTACTAGATGCTTACATCCTTATTTCCAAAGAAAATCCTAAAAAGACTAGACCAACTCCAACAAAACTTCTGGTGGCAGGGGGAAAACAAATCAGCATGGGGACCACAATATCTCCTGGAACAAAATCTGCAAACCAAGATCAGCAGGAGGTCTAGGACTCGGGCAGGCGGAACCAATGAACAAGGCACTCTTTGCCAAGCAATTCTGGCGACTCCTTGAGAGAGATGATGAACTTTGGAAGGAACATATTCAGGCGAAATACTTGAGACACAAGACTATCTTCGAAGCCAAACCCAAAAGGTCTCATTCCTATTGGTGAAGAAACATCCAAAGTGTTAGGGACATCCTAACCCCTCACCTTTGTTGGAAAATTGGAGATGGAACAAGAATAAACTCCTAGACGGACCCTTGGATTCTCGAGCTCCCCACCAACAAACCTCAAACCTAACATCCCCAACTCTCCACTGACAGGCGTTGGATGGTGAAAGATTTCATCACATCTAGGGGAGAATGGAACTCCCAGCTCTTACACCAAGTTTTCGAAGACTCCTTAGCCGAGGCTGTCCTAAACATACCCTTGAACCCTCAAAACCAAGGGGACAAATTGTTGTGGAAGAATTCAAAGGATGGAAATTATTTAGTCTGGTTGGCCTATAGAAGCTTCTCAAGAATTAAAACAGTGGGTCCTTCTAGAGAACAAATCAAGTGGTCAAGGTTGTGGGCCACAAAAGCTCCCATTCGATGCTAACTTTTTGGCTATAAAGTCTTGATGAATGGAATCAAAATGAAGCAATCAACTTGGTTCCTACGGCACTCGAGGGACTCTTCGTGTGTTCTTTGTGGAAATGCTCCTGAAACTCAGGCGCATCTCTTCTTTGAATGTTCTCTAGCGAGACCAGTATGGATATCAGCTCAAATTGGCTTTAATCCAGATGCCTTCCTTGCATCAGGATCACTAGACTTCCTAACCTAGTGGCTAGAAAGGAATCCTGAGAAAAAAGATATCCAAGATTTCTGAGAGCACTATGGGATCATAGAAATGAAGTGATCTTCAAAGAAAAGTCCTCGGACCCCCTTGAAGTCATGAAAAAAGCAAACATTTACATCCCAAACACAAAAGATCCAATCTGGTTCCAGACTCATCACCAACATGAACACACCTCCCTTTTCACTCACCAGCTGTCCCTAACCTCCCATTCAGTAATTATAGTTGACGGATCCTGGAACACAACTACTAGCTCAGCCTTTACAGGTTTATACTTATTGTCTTACACACACACAATATTTGCATTGCAAAAGGACAACAATGCAAGGCCTTAAAAGACTCATTTTGCTGGGTTTCAGTCAAGCTACCATTATGTCGGATGCAAAGGAAATTTTGCTAAAGCTTAAAAGAACCACAGGAAACATAAGGTGGAATGAATAGGCATTGATCGAGCACATCAAGTATCTGCATTCTTTTTCTATGGAACTAAAAATGATGTATGTAAACAGGAATGATGTGGGCCCTGCTCATAACATAGAAAAAAGGGCCAATGTAAATTGAACCCATATTTTGATCCTTAGACCCCTCCCTCTGAGGCATAACTCGTATCTCTGTATATAAGACCCTTAATCTTTTGATGTTTCTAAAAAAAAAACATCGGGTTATCAACTTGTCATTATTTAAGACATCTCACTCTAGGATATTGTCTAAAGACCCTTGGAGGTCCACGATGCTGAGGATTTATGATACCACCATTTCTAGACCATATGGCTTCCATCCGGAGCTGCACTAGATACATTGAGGCCCCGTTCGCTTTTTGATAAGTTGCTTACATGGGCAAATGCACTTACCCAGGTAAGTGCTTCCCAAGAAAGATTGACTTGGGTAAGTACATTTACCCATGTTCTTTTATTTCCCATGTAAATAAGGCAATGGCCATTTTAACCATAAAAACCCAATACTAAAAGGGGTATTTTTGTCCCATTCAAGTGTTGGCAATTTTTCCCCAGGTGGGAAAATTATTTACCCACCTAAGAAATTAGGGGTGAACAAGAAAAATCGAAAAAACCGAATCAACCGAAAAAACCAAAAATTCAATTAACCAAACCAATCAGTTCAGTTTTGGTTCGACAATTTAAAAAAACCAAAAGTACTTATTCGATTTTGATTAACCAAAATAAAAAACCAGCGGTTAACCAAATTGATTAGTATACATATATTTATATACATTTTATAATATATATTGTAAATAATAAAAAACTGACAAACTGAACTGGTCATCCAATTAACCGATCAACTTTAATTCGGTTTCGATTACCCGTTTTTCAAAAACCGATAACCCCAGTTCGATCAACCGAACTATGAGCACCCCAATAGAAATTGAGTATCACTTACCTGGAAAATAAACTTTTCACATATTGACCAACTTTTCCCCCTTATAATCTAGAAAAAGAACACCCCTTGTGGCCATCCCCACTTGAGAAATGCTTTTATCAAAAGAAATGATGCTGGTGCTCTTTCTTATTAATTCCCCAAAAAGGATGAAACCGATTAGCCCAACTACTTTTATTGACCTACATTCACCGTACACTTCTTTGATATCTTTACACCCACTAACATTGGCATCAAAGAACAAGAACCTAAAATGCAATGCTCTAATTGTCTCATATAAATGGGACCAAGGAGCCCTGACACAACTACCATTTAGCATTTTTTTTTCTCGTCGCTCTACTTATGATTTATCTGAGGGTTCAGATCTAGGGTAATTCAACAGGTGCAATGTTCCATATATCTTTCGCATATTCATGAATAGTTCGATCGCTGCTGAACTTGTATGAGCCGGCTGTATTCAAAATTGCCATCTTCGTCCATCTCTGCACAAATATATATTTTATAAATGTCAGGAAAATGCACCAACAAATTAATGTAGAGATTGTACATGCAATTGCAATCCAATGCATCGATGATTGTAGTCATTGGGAGTACATGACCAAGGTAAGCTTGCTAGGGCATGGAATGACTTGGTTTTTACCTTCTTTTTCTTTTTAAAGAAGGTTCGAGTCCTAGTTTATTAGGGGCTCACTAGTTCAGGCGACCACTTCATGCAGAAAATTCCTAGGTTAGGTTCATATCCAGTCCAAGGTTAAAAAAATTGACACATATCAGCCAATACGTATCGTATCGGGAGCTTCCCGATATGCCCCTACAGAGGGTGTATCGGGGTTTTGACTGGTTCAGAGGGTGGACAGACCTTAAATCGGCCCCTCTGAACTGGATTTGAAAAAAAAAACAAAAAAAAAACTTAAAAAGAACAACCAATACTGCCTGATACGCCTCTACCGGCATATCGATATTTTGAACCTTGATCCAGTCAACCCCCTCAATCTTGGATGGCTAGCTGGGACCAACATTGGTCATTGGGTAACAACCTGTCATTTCTCATTAGCCCCCAAAGGCAAAATCATAAAATCCCAATATTGATAACCAATCCCTAAAAAAGTGAGATTCATATCCAGTTCTTAAGTTCTCCAACACAATCCGGATAAATTCCCGATTTCTAGGCGAGGAAGGGATGAACTATATATATATATATATAGAGAGAGAGAGAGAGAGAGAGAGAGAGAGGTTCTTTTGGGCATTACCCACTCTAAGCTGAAAAAGGGGAGGTAACTTCAAGCACATTTAACAAGCACAATAATTTTGAACTGTACACATGCACATATTATATATAGAATTATAGAGAGAGATGTCTGAACTGTGCATTTAAAATTCACCCATCTCTGATGTCCATCTATCCACAACATGATAATATTATTTTTTGTAACCCAATCTCCCAAATCAGTACAGATTTTCCCTCCAGATTACCTTTTCAATATTCAGCCTTCTAGGGTTATTAGCTAAATTAGAACTTCTAGGTTTTATCTTGTACTTTCTTTTTTATTTTTAATTATTGACTACAACATAATGACATTCTTGCTCTCCCTCAATATCCTCTTTCCTAAGCAATTCCTCTTCAATAAGGGCTTTCCCTTACTGACTAGATAGAGAGATAATAATGCAGAGACCAACATTCCCTTCTGAATTTTAGAATTAATGTGCCAACCCAACCAATACATGTTAAAAAGCTACTTGACAATGCCGCAATGGCCCCACAACCATATTCACAGCACCCTTTTGATGTGATTTTATAAGAATGGTCGGTCTAAAATCCAAGGTCCTCTTCTCAGGCATAAGGAGATGAGGCCGGAGCTATTGCTTAATGTGTGACAGGAATTTATCAATATGCCTAATGTGTAAGTAATATAACTTGGATATGTTTCAAGGAAACAGAGGAGACATACCTTCTGGTCTTTATATGCCTCATCTACCTTCTCTTGGCATTCCAGATAACTGGGGAAGTCCTTGCCAACAAGGAAATAATCTGCACGGCCAAAACCTTCATTTCCTTCCAAAGATCCAATCATTTCATCATAGTTATAGGACCCAAAAACCCCACTTCTGACATATTCCTTGACTTCTTCAAACCGAGGGTCAGGCACAAACTGCATATAAGATGACATGGATCAAATATACAGGACAAGCATGCAAAATGAGTTTGAGCCGAAGGAATGTGTGATTCCTCCTCCCTTTCCTAATTAGTTACTTTTTTTTATTTAACCTTACCTTGCCCTCAGCCCTTTCTTTTCTTAGCCCAGCAATCTCATGAGCTCGAGCTCCAAATAGGAAAAAGTTGTCTTCTCCAACCTCTTCCCTTATTTCAACATTGGCCCCATCCAAGGTTCCAATTAGGACACAACCATTCATTGCAAATTTCATATTACTGGTTCCACTGGCCTCCATACCAGCAGTACTGCCCAAGATAAAGAAAAGGAGAAAACAAGATTAGAGCTAATTACCAAAAATTGAAACATGCTTTGCATATCTAACACCAAGAGAACAGAAGATGTTTTTTTTTTTTTTGATGAATGAACAAAAGGTGCTTTTGTTAACATTTTCATACTGAACATGTTTGTTGAGACAACCATGAAAGGAAAACAAAGCTATTGGGAATGGGAATGCCGTAAATCTATACTACTATTAGAAGTGTTAATAAGAGTGTGGATTCTTTGACTAAAATACCCCAATTTTTTAAATTGATCCCTCTCTAATTGTAAGGACAAAAATGTACTTTGAACAACCACTTTTCTCTTCATTCAGATCCCTCTTGTTAAGTCTTATATTTAAGGTATTAACTTTCATTAACATTTATTGAAATCCTGTTCTTGATTAGAATACCCCTATTTTTGAATTTGGTCCCTAGGCACAAAATGTAATTTGAACTACTACATTTCTCTTCATTAATCCCCTCTCATTAAGTCTTATCTAGGCTATCAACTCCCATTCTTTCATTGAGTCCTATATTAATTAACCACGAGGTTCAAAGTATCGACACATAATAGCCCGTATTGGCCGATACGTATCATTCCGGGACCTCCCCGATACGCTCCTACAGTGGGTGTATTGGGGTTCTGACCGGTTCAGGGGGTGGAGGAGTGTTAAACTGGCCCCCCTGAACCGGTTTTGAAAAAAATAAAAAAAAGTAAAAAAACAGTATCGATATTGCCCGATACGCCCCTACTAGCTTATCGGGCGTATCGATATTTTGAACCTTGATTAACCATATTAAAGAAAAATAAGTGTGACAAAGAATAATTGTTTTTATTGGTGATAGAAATAAAATACAAATTTAAAAAACCAACACAAAAATGGAGTTATTTTCCGGTTTGGTAGTGAGTCAACAATTCAATCTTTTGCGTCATATGTGTCAACCTTTGATGTCATAATAATAATAATAATAATAATAATTCAAAAATAGGAAAACACACAAAGTATAAAAAATACAAAAAAAAATTGTAGAAAACATTTGGGCACATCTCTAATATTGTATATTCATCAATACGTTTGACAAATAAGAGTAGTTTTTATAGACAAATATAAAAAAAATTGTAGAAAATTTTGGAAACATATTATTTACTATATCATCATCATCATTAAAAATTGTCACATGTAAAGAACATGCACACGTACTAGTTTGTTTTAAAAATCACCATGCTTCTGAAATGAACAGCAGAACAATGTGGAGATTTATTCAGTCATGTTGTTGATTAACAATTTGGAGTGGCTCTTGATTCAAAAGTATTGCATTTGCAGAAGGAATCCAAAGGACTGCTTTTAGAAGGCTTAGTTTCGGTTACCATTTCCTACTTAAAACCTTTACCATTTCTATTTAGATTTTGCAATTACAAGATATCAGTCAATGACAAGAGCAAAAGAGAACAGTGTAGCACAAGTTCCCTGGGGGGTATCCAGCTTGGAGCCTCAGAATACCTGATATGCTGTGAAAGTTCACTGGCAGGAATAAGCAACTCTGCAGCACTAACATTGTAGTCAGGCACAAAGACCACCTGGAAAACACAGAAAAAATATTAGAAAAGAAAACATAAGTAGCATAACCAGCTTGATGCCAGGAATCGAATCACATGTTTAGACCTAACAAGTTTCCCTATTGATTGCCCTTTTTTATTTATTCTGGAGGGGGTCTAAATAGGAATAGAATCACATATTTATCCATGCCAAATGGATATGGAACTAAATCGAATGGAATGGTGAAACAGGATTCATCTAGCCGACCCCATATAGTTAGGACAAGGCTTAGATGATGATGATTCTATAGGGGATCTGTGGTAACACTGACTGATCCAACTTAGTCAACTGACTAACTTAACAAATAATGCAAAAATATATCTCGGGACACTTGTAACAGTCAATATCTGCATTTCAGAATTAGTGCACTGTTCACAATGATCTAAAATGGCAACTGTTCAACTAATCATAAAATTAAAGATCATAATAGCAACTTAAAATAACATAAGATTATCAGCCAAGCTATACCTTCAATAGATCTCCTATTTCAGGGTCATGATTTACTGTTGCTCCAACATCTGTGATGAATTTCACTATCCTCTTTGCTTGCACATATGTTGCAAATGCTTTCCCCCCAAATATACATACTCGAGGAACAAATTTTTCCTTCCTTTCTTCAGCACTCATTTCTTTCATCTTTTTGTAGCGGTAGACAATTCCCAAAATATTCAATAGTTGACGCTTGTATTCATGGATGCGCTTCACCTGAGAATTCATCAACATTAAACAACTATTTTTGTATCTTTCAAAAGCATATAGTATTCCAGAGATTTAGCATTTAGTAAAGACACAAAGTGGCCCATTCAGTGCTTCAGGCATTTCTTTGGAGCTCACTAACTACAAGCAATTTGGTTAAAGTCAGGATACCTAGACCAAGATAAGGTTTGCAATGTGGCCAATCACCTATCCCCAATGTTTTGAAAATCATAATCGTATTGTAAATCGTAGAGAAAGTTGAATTGAATCGTGAATCATGTCGTAAATCGTAAGATTATTTCTACTTTTTACAAATTTGTCAAAAAATTAAATATAGATATATTAAAAGGCTAAATATATAGGAAAGTGACCATACCTATTTTTAATCTATATCTACCAGATATGTACTTAAAACAATAGAATTTACCACTTATATAATAGAAGCCTAAGATGATATAATCAAGTTTGACTTGAAAATCAAATAAATCTACATACAAGAACTCTTTAACCTACATATGATGGAAAATAAACTGAATTTCTAGTCTTAAATATTGTAAATAAATCATTTTATGGTATGGACTTTAAAAAAAACTCCCTTGGCAAAACTATTTATAAACCAAAAAAAAGTAGAGAACTAATTCTTAATTGAATTTATTTGAATCGTAGTGAACCATAGAAATTGTAACATTTATGAATCAAATCAGAGGATTATGCAGAAAATGATTCAGACATAAGATTCAAATCACAAATCATAAATTGTATCGTAAACCGTAAGATTTTGACAATATTGTCTACCCTAGTAGAGCTCGAAGGTAATAAATTGAGAACCATGCTGAACAGGGTAGTGAAACTACTGATCCGAAGACAAAAGGATCCCCCAACCAATGTGTTACCTTTATTTTTTTCATCAGAATGTAATACCTTTAATACTAGGATCACTATTTCATTGTGCATATCTTTTATTTCAATATTAATTTCATTTTAAATCTACAAGAAAAAGAAAGAGAATGTAGTTGTAGTTAGCGAATAACCTGTATATCAAACATTGCATCAGGGCTAACAATATACCCTGTTTTTTCTTTGATAAGTGACACAACCTTCAACTTGTTGCTCCTTTTTGCTGCTCTCCACTCTGTTTGTAGATCTTCATTATCAGCAAACTATGGAAAAGCATACTGTTGTTAGAAAATCTGATAAATGACAGTAAGAAGGTAATGTTATAAGTACATAATATAACATTTTAATTTGAAAATAAATGTAAAAGTAGTAAAGGAATTGCACATGAATGACAAAAATATTGCAGACAAGTATATATTAAGGGAACATTTAGGAGTATCAATTATCAACCCACCCTTGCTTTTCAATCCATGAGAACTTAAAAGCCCTGTCCAGTGTAATATCAAGCCAAAGTATAATGATTCTAACACAGATCATCCAAGCAAAAGCTACCCAGCAAGGTAAATAAATGATAAGAAAGTTTAAATCCTTTCTCTAATAGCATTGGTTAGAAAGTTACATCAATGACGTAACATATTAAGTGGAAGTTACAATGTTCTTCTACTTTTCTTCTTTTTCTTTTCATTTTTCCATTTATAATGTAAAATGGAGTCAGGCAATCTCTATGAGCGCTTTTTACTTTATGCTACCAAATGCCAAGTGTTCCAAGGTCAAATCCTATGTACCCGAGATGACACTAGATACTGCATGGACACTCCTAGGTACATTCTATGGCATTAATATACTTTTAAAATATGTAAAATGGTATTTTAACAAATCATACATCAAAAAATTTTTATATGTAAAATGGTATGCTTTCCCAATCAATAAATTTATGCTTTTTAAAGTATATACAGTGGAAATTACGAATTTAAGACCCTAGCATAGACTTGTTTGGGCTTGCCTCAAGGGGTTTGATACAAAGCTGACACAGAGAATTAGGAATGCATAATGTGATTAGGAAAGAAACAAAGAGATTGATCGTTTCACATGCTTGAATATCTTTTATATGTTATGTTTGATTTTATTTTTACATCTTCACTGTGAATATGTTTTATATGTTATGCTTATGCATTTTAATTTGAGCTAATGGCTTTTAAATCATTCAGTTTACAATTAAACTTTACATTTTTAGTTAATACTATTTTTAATCATTTTGATTTATTTTGAAATTTTCCACTTATTTTTTTGCATTTTTGTGAACTTTTTAAAACTTTTGTCCCGTGCTTCAAAAAAAGGTGTGCCTCGCTTTGTGCCTTGCACTTTTAAAACACTGATGGAGTCATATCCCCATTTCTCACATCTATGTCCTTGCAAGTATCCATGTCTTTATGTGTCTGGCATCATCAGATGTTCCAAGTTTCCTCATTATATAGAACAAACCTTCTAGCATGCAATCTTTTGAGGAAAGGTAATCATGAAAACTGTGTATTGCCATTACTAGCAAAAAGCATTGTGTTAACAAAGGAAGACACGGTAAAAGTACAATTGATCAAAGATCAATTATTTCACTAGTGAATACATATTAGTAGAAAAAAGGAAACCCATTTTTCATATGAAAAATGAAATTGGAAATTAAAAATAAAATACCTTTCTAAGTTCTGCCAACTTTTCAGTATTGAGAACCCAATCCTCATTACCAGTCCATTTGGTTATGATTTTACTTAGATCTGGGTTGCAAAAGCGGATCCATCTCCTCGGTGTCACCCCATTTGTTTTATTTTGGAATTTTTCAGGCCACAACTGCCAAATGATAATATTGAAGAATCGTTAACAATACCAAAATAATGCAATAGCATGAAAACAAGGAATCCAAGTAGTTCAGTTCTACTAAATCATGGAACAGAAGCACATTGTAATGCACACAAAAAAGAAAAAAAGCATTTTAGAAAAGTGGCATTACCTTATAAAAATCATTGAAGACTTCCTCCTTTACAATTTCACTATGTATCTCAGCAACTCCATTTACTGCATGGCCACCAACAACACAAAGGTTAGCCATTCTGACCACCTTTGGCTGTTTCGGATCTGGTTTTAATGATAGCTTTGGTTTCTTCTTGGTATCCTCTTCTTCAGATTCATCATCACTACCAGTAGTCTCAGCTTCTTCATCAGATTTTTCAACTTCTTCAATAGAATCAGAAACTTCTTTTACAGAATCAGCATCAGCATCTTTTTCGACAGATGCAGCAGCAGAACTTTCTTGTGATTTAACAAATAATTCAACAACTGAGGCAGGAAATTCAAAATTGTCCAAGATTCTCATATTTTTCAGTTTGTTGTATAGTAACTCAAGATCATCTGTACCATACTCTGCAACTATGGTATCAATCAGCTGATTCAAATATCAAATAGAGGAGTCATCATTAGAAGAAATGTCAAATAGAATATTACCACATAAATATGGATAAATTTGATATGTCATCATATTTAAAAGTACCTCCTCTTCAATCTTTTTTATAATCTCTACATGTCGAGGAAGCAAACTTTCCATAAGCTCCAAACTCCACTTTTCTAATGCTTCAGGCAGAACTGTGTGGTTTGTGTATGCAACAGTTCTAGAAGACAAGTTACAGATTGATCACCACAACTTGAACCTAAACTGAACAATCATGCAAAAAAATTGTGTGCATTTGTGAAGTGCCCATGCATATATGATTTTTATTTCCAGCAGACAAGCAATGGGGATAGACAGACATCAAATAGATTGGACAAATAAGCATATTCAAGGAACTTGTAGAAGTAAAAGTTGTGCAATATGCTACAAAAAAATAGAAACATGTGTACTGTGTCAATATACAAATGTAAGACCATACCTTTTAGTAATATCCCAAGCTTGATTCCAGGCCAAACCCTTCACATCTATCAATATTCTCATCAATTCCGGAATACAGAGTGTTGGGTGAGTATCATTCATCTGCACTGCAACCTTCTCAGGGAATTGATCCCAATTAACGGTCTCTCCAGATCTTTTCTCAAAGCGTGTGATGATGTCCTGAAGAGATGCTGAGCACAGGGTATATTGTTGTTTTAGACGGAGAATTTTTCCCTCCTTTGACTCATCCCCAGGGTATAGTATATAGCAAATCTGATATCATAAAACAAAGTCGTAGTGATCACCATTTCAGTTGTCAAATCAGGTTTAAGAAATGGTAACAAATATTAGTCAGAATTTTGTATTTGGATAAGAACCCAACAAGTGGGATCTTGGAAGCACATAACACAGGGAGGCACTGAATATAGTATTCTGTCCACTTCCCATACATATAACTCCCACTCAACTTATGTGCTTAGTGTTTCTATCACTGGCACACAGGACCCCAACCCATATTGTTGGCCTGTAGAAATAACAGGAAATGAACATCTGGATCAAGTTGACATCATTTAAGTGGCACTCTATTCTGAAAGAATGCAAACCTTTTCAGCATTTGTTTGGGCCTCATACGCTTTGGAATGCTCTCCAGCATTAAAGGCACGCAAATCAAAATCTTGTGATGGAACTTTTGTGGACCATAGCCGAAGGTTGATTGTGGTTTTAGTTTTATATCCTGGAATAGGGACATCATGGGCCACAGCAATTACATCTTCACCTCCAATCCAGTGGTTCTTTCCATCTGATCCTTGAACAACCTTGCCATAGAATTTGATGGGATAGGAAACATCATTTCTTACAATTTCCCAGGGGTTGCCCATCTGCAAGTAGATACTGCGGTCAATCAATAGAAAATGGAATCCAAAAGAGTGTGCAACCGTAACTAGAAAAATAACATAGCATACACTATTCCAAGGTTCAAGGAATGTAAACAGAAAAGATTTCCTAAATCAAAAGAGATTATTAAGTAATTAATAATGAGCATACAGAAATCAAACCTCAAGCCAATTTTCTGCAACTTCCTCCTGACCATCTTTTGTAATGGTCTGTTTGAACAAACCATACTTGTATCTGAGTCCATAACCCCAGGCTGGGTAATCCAATGTTGCCAGAGAGTCCAAAAAACAGGATGCAAGCCGCCCTAGGCCACCATTTCCAAGTGCAGCATCGGGTTCCTATTATTGATCAACCAAAAGACAGGAGTTTAGACACTCAGATCGGTAATATGTGCACATTAAGAGAATTTACAAAATCTATTCAAAAACAATTTACACGGCTTGGGCAGGATAAATCCTGCAATTAGAATTTTGCAGAAGGACAACTACCAAATCCTATAACAATTGTAATTCCTATTAGCCATCCCAATAATTACAGGTTCCATCAAACAATATTCAATAACACGTTGTAGGCAGGCCACATCCTGAGAGTAGTCACTTTGTGCAAAAAAAAAAAAAAATGCCTTAAGGTTAGGACCGTGTCCATCCACCCCTCCCAAGACCCCAGGTAGCTGGGACCAACATTGAGCAATGGCCTTTTACTGTTGTGATTGTTTTCATTAATGGTCGTCCCTCCAAAAAGGTGCTGATTGACACTTATGCATTCATAAATGATAACAAGATTCATGCAATAAGGACGGTGCATACCATCGATCGGATGAATATGAGTTTTTGGCAGAGCAGTACAGATACACAAATAGTGGCCAAAATCTTATCAAGCAAAGTAGTGCAGAAGTAGAATAGCGTAAATTGATCTGACCTGCCTAGCCACATTCTCTAGATCATGCCCGAGCTTCTTCAGAGCCTCTGCATAAGCCCCCGTTAGCTCTAAATTTCCAATTGCATTTAGCAGTGCTCTACCCTGCAAAATCACGCAGCATGCTAAAAATTCGTTGCAAAAACGAATTTTGACTGATGAAATTTTCTAAACCATGACTGATGCTCCCAATACGAACCTGTAGAAATTCCATAGACAAATAGTAGGCTTGCTTCACATTCATCTTATCATAGTAGTCATACGTTGCGTTCCAATTTATGATGAGAGAGTCACGGACACTTTCAGCAGTGGCAAAGTAAGCCTTATGGAGCTCAAACCGTTCGGGAGAGAAGGCGGGCGTAAACTCAGCATGATACTTAATACTCGATGCAATGGACGCAGAGTCAGGCGTGAAGGGAGCCAGAGAACCTGCAAATCCCAAATCACAATAACAAAGGAGAAAAATTACCTAGAGATTTCAGTGTCGTATCTCAGAACTTGTACGTGAAATCTTAAAATCAAAAGCCATACCTAAAATCTTCAAAAGAGTGGACGAAATCGTCCAAAAGTTACTTTTAAGAACATGAGAAAATACAACAAGAGACACTTTGCCATCAAAATAAAAGATCAGGACACGAGAGGTAGCGAAACAGAGAACAAATACCTTCATCGGGAACCGTCTCCTGCAATTGTTGTTTGTGATCGCTGGCGACGTTCTTCACGGAGAGAGATCTTCTGAAACGACGGGAATTGGAGGTTCTGGTGAAGAACAACCTAGAAGCAATGTGCTTGGAGCGGAAATCGATAAATCTCGAGATGGAACTGCAAGGTATGAAGACATCCGATCGGGCTGAAGTTGCAGAGAATGGTGTAGTCGCCATTGTTAGCCCCTGCCCTAATCACAGATCGACGGACGATCTGGGAGAGAGAATGCAAGAAAGAGAAACAGAGACGGTTTGTCTTCTTGACGATCCCAGGCAGCTAGCTACCTGCGTAATCTCTCTCTCATCTACTAATATCAGAGATGGCTTCTGGACGTCCTTGTTTGAACACGAGCGAAAAAACAAAGCCTTGCGATAGATGTCGCTCACTTACGGTCCTCACTCACTCACTCTGTGTGATGTGCATTTAATAATGCTCCAACTCATCGTCAAATCGCTCAAAAAAATAGATATTTTTCTCTAATACGCCAAATTTTAACTGCAAAATTACCAAATTGCCACAAGTAGCAATATCCCTGATTGACAGTTGGACTCTTATTTGACCGTCAACTGGTGTACCAATTCAAAACTGGGGGACCTACTCCCTCATCAACTGTGCAAATGAATATGAAGCTGACACTTGGCACGATTTCCCATTTTGGTGCAAAATTACAATACCGATTCTTAATTAGGTGTTTTATTAAAACGTTTTTGTGTTGTGACTATGGACATTTTGAAACCAATGCACTTTTCTGAAGGGTTTTCTTTTTCTGTTTTTTTTTTTTTTTTTGAGAAAACAGTGTTACATTGGTATGCTATTTTTTGAAAAATCTTTTTTTATTTTTATTTAAGACCGTTGCTGGTTGCTGCGATATAAGCATTTTTAATGCCACATCAGCATATACTATTACTAATAATAATTATAAAAAAAGAGAAAACACCACAAAACATATAATTAATGATCTGATGTGATACTGATATAGCACCGTTTTTCAAGAAAATGGCACGGTTCGAAACACTGGCAATGAATTTATCCAACGAAATCCATCCTATTTGTAATTCCATGCTTCAGTGAAATAACGTGGGTGGAATTATGGAATTATTATTTTGAAAACATGGATGGATGACAGGAGTACCATGATATTTATGCACACGGAAACAGAAAAAAGGTGAATGATCTACATCTAGAGTCCAGAATCCTTTTCTAGGGGAATTTGGGACACGACAAACAAAATAATTGAGAGTAGCAAACGTTGCCAATGAAAACAACAAATGAGTGGCAATTAAAGGAAATGGTTTGGTAATTGGTACTTGGTAGTGGGCCTAGTGTGGCGTTTCGGTGGTTTGGATAGAAGAGATGGGCAATCAAAGAAATATGTGGGGCTTTGGCTGCTCGGTGGCCCAGATATTTTGGGCTTTGGCTTGATGGATTCTTCTTTTTTATTTTAGTTATACGCCCTTTTTGCTCTACTCTTTTTTCTGTCTCTGTCTCTGAATATTTGTCACTTTGCTTAGAATGTCTTTCTTCAGTGGGCCCTCCCAGCGTAGGTCGTAGGAATCTAGGAGAATAGATGCCATTTTTACGATTAAAACTTGCTCAATGACTCAACGTCTTGGTTGAAAATTTGGATCTGTAGCAAGCTCGTGGCCGGAGTAAGATCTACTACATAAATTATTTGTTTCATATCTGTGTCTAGAGCTACAGACAAAAGATTCCAATTCACGGTCCATATTAAAACCCATCATGTTCCTATATTTTAATCAGAAAATATGTATACGTGATGAGGATTGAGGACCCACATTATAGAGATCCTCACGTAAAATCCTCATCCCAATTCAAAGTCGCCTCAGATTATCCTCGCGGCTTTGATTTTAGCCATCTGTGAATTGTGATTGTTAAATAAGATCCCAATCCAACGTTTATTATAAATAGAGAGAGTGGGAGAAATAATGAAAAGCGGGCCCTTCCATAGGAATTATCTTAAAATTTGTTTAAATGTCCTAGTCCAAAGAATGAAAAAGGAAAATATCTATGCAGTGTGTAGTGGGAAATGCGGGCAAGGCAATTGCGTGGGCAGAGTTGTAGGGCCCATGATTGGTCCATCCTCTCAACCCACTGGGCCTCGGGCACGTTTCGACGTCACATGTTTAGTGAGCAAGTACATCCTAGCGTTAGACGTGTTCATGGGCCGGGTAGCCCGATGGTCCGGCCCGGCCCGACCTGCACCCTGGTCGGGCTTGGTCATGTAATTAGGCCCGTGGGCCTGATCTTGGGCCTAACACGGTAAGTCCGATTGTGTTTTAGGCCGGGCTTGGGATTTGTCAAAAAAGCCCGGCCCGAGCTCGGCCCAGCCTCACTCAACATTATATATTTTATAAAATACATTTTTTATTTTTTTTCTTTATAATTTCTCTCTCTCTCTCTCTCTTTTCAGCCGCTTCAGTAGTAGTAACAGCATGGGCTAAATTTCGGGCTCAGGCCCAGGTCTAGGCTTCGGGCTTTTTATGAGGGTCAGGCTCGGGCCCAAGTTGTAGGCCCGATGGTCGGGCCGGGCTCGGGCCTTGGAAAAATCTGTTAATACAGAGTGAAAGCTCAGTCTGAGCCTGAACCGGCCCATGAACAGGTCTACCTAACGTGTCTTAATTTGGATATTTTAGGTAATGAGAACTCAAAACCAAGATGTCATATTACTTTTACCAAAAAAATATTATTTTTAAATAATAAGAACTAGCAGAGGGGCTAGGGGCTGGAATGGAACTGTCGATATGTTGATATGTTTATCCGGTCTTGGCAAAAAACCATTGAATCAGTCAGTGATCCATTGATTCGAGTAGTCGAACTATTGACTCGTTAATCCGTAAAATGGTTTTTGGCCGTTTTTTTTAATTCAGAACCATCCAAGCAACTAGTTCCGTTTTATTCTAATCTCGGTCCTGGCCAAAAATCGTTGAATCGATCAACAGCCCATTGACTCGGGTAGTCGAACCATTGACCCGTTTAATGGTTTCTGGTCATTTTTTATTTTTATTTTTTAGTTTTTATTGTCAGAATGGGCCATCTATTCGAACCGAACAATCAAACCGTCGACCAAAAAACCGATGGCCAAAATGATTCCGTTTTTAGGTCGTATGAGTCACATGCTCGAATGACGTAATACATTATGATACTACTTAATGAACCTCACACGCTCAATTTTGTGCCTACAATTTTTATTGTTAGAATGGGTTGTCCTTTTTTTTTTTATTTTTTTAATTGAAAAGTATCCAGGCAACTAGTTTCGTTTTACTCCAATCCTGGTCCCTCGCCAAAAACCATTGAATTGGTCAACGACCCATTGACTTGAGTGGTCGAACCATCAACCCGTTCAATGATTTTTGGTCGTTTTTTTTTATCTTTTTTAATTTTTGTTGTCAGAATGGGATGTCCGTTCGAACCGGACGGTCAACCGTCGACTTGAAAACCAGTGGCCAGAACGGTTCCATTTTTGGGTCGTATGAGTCACACGCTTAAATGACATAACATCATGGCTTTTAAACCGATGTTGACCCCTTTAAACTGATGGCTGGAACGATTCCATTTTCAGGTCATATAAGTCACATGCTCGAATGACATAACATCATAATTTTTAAAACTGACCCAAAGACCAAACCGGTCAGGGGTCTAGTTACCGAGTCAAACAGTCGGTCGTTTTGACAAAACTGTTCGAATGATTCGATATAATAATTATTATATATTTATATAATTAGATAATTATATAATAATATAATTAGATAACTATCTAACAATTAGGAAATAGGTCGCTCTCACGTGAAAATCTACTCGCACGAATAGATTTCATTTCCTGCACAAAGAGAGCATCCCAATCTTATATATAAGATAAGTTTTTTTGATAAATATTAGTGTGAGAATGCAAATAAATATGAACACTACACGAGTGATGCGCCGGAATTCCTCTAAGGGCCGCCGTTGATTAGCGCAGAATCAAACCCATAAAATCATAAATCCTCCTCTCCCCGAGATGGTATGAATCATGCCATTTTCATTCCTGACCTCCAAATCGGAATTGAAATTAAGACAATACTGAAGAAATATTCCCAATGTGCGGTTGTAATGGTTGTGTTTGAGAAAGAAGATCCATACTCACGAGTGCCAGGGGGGGAAAACCCAGTAGAAGATATAAAAAGGGTTGAGACTTCGACGCCCAAGATGAGTGAAAAGAAGGACCAAATGGGAATACCTTGTACTCATAAGCTTGAGAAAAGATCAAATGGGGAGTGAAAAATTCTCCTTTAATAAACAGATCAGCAACATGCGATAAATTTCCATGATAACTTCCCTTGTTTTATATGAAACCAAATACAAAATAAGTGCCAGTCAGCTCAATTGGTGAAGACGTGAGATTTATTCCCACTCTCACCAGAATTGAGGGTGGAGTTAAAAGGGTTTGGAGGATGGGCTCTCTTTACCCACAAGATGCTATCCATATCACTTTAAAACTTTTGCTCCTCGAGGAAATAGATCCGTTCCAGGATGGGCTCTCTTTACCCTCACGCTGTCCGATTCTTAAAAAAACAGGTTCGGAAACTGAACCCAGATATCCTATTCTTGTTTGAAACCAAACTAGATGAGGAAAAATTAAAACATCTAGGAAAGATGTTGGGATACTCTCAAACATGTTTCAATCCATCTCAAGGTCTCTGAGGAGGTCTTTTCTGATGCTGGAAAGCTGAACAATCAATCATCATGCAAGAGATAACCAATAGGTGGATTTTACTACATATAAATCCAACACAAACGTCCCATGAATGGCATCTTTGCCTAGCCTATGGACACCCAGAAAAAAAATAAAAGGCCCCAATTTTGGGATGAATTAAACAGGAAAATGACAAATATTCCAAAGTGGGTATTACTAGGGGATCTAAATGAGATTATTCACCCGAGTGAGTACATTGGATCAAGAAGGACCTGCAATTGAATTTCACCCTCGTTTAACTCTCTGATGGATAGCCACTCTCTCTTAGAAGTGGAAATGGTGAGGTCTAAATTCAATTCACTTGGTCCAACAAAAGGGGGGGGGGGGTGTCAAGAAAAGGTAAGAGAAAAATTAGACCGGGGCTTAGCCACTGTTCACTGGCTGGCATCTCACTCATCAGCCAAGATAACCTCATTGAAAACTGTCCTCTCTGACCATGCTTTACTAACATTAGAAACAAATCCTCAGAAAATAACAGGCCCAAAACAGTTTCACTTTTTACCTATATGGGCCGAGGAGGAAGAACGTAAAAAAATAATTGAAGATCAATGGGTGGCCTCTCCAGAACAGGTAGAAATCCCAAGAAAACTGAGGAGATGTAAAAAGGCTTTGAAGGAATGGAACTCTTGTAGATTTGGGAGAGTCGAGACAAAGCTCA